TATATATATATATATATATATATATATATATATATATATATATATTTGTGTGTGTATATATGTGTATACACATATACTCAACGTCAAAATAAATTTCACCCTGTACTGAAAACCGTTTCAGTGTCTCACAGCCACCAGTGGTGACGTCAATTTGAACCCCTCCCACTGGAACCAGTACTGAAAGCATAATGGAAACACAATGTGTACCATGCCAAGTAGCGTAGAGCCGTGCTGTACCTGTACTACAGGTACTAATGGAAAAGGGGCAATATACACCAATATATCCCCAAATGAGCGCCCTACAGATTATCAGTCGGGCTCTTATTGTAACTGATCAGTTTTTGAAGTTAGCTCAATTTAAGATGGCCTCCTGACTTTAGTGAACACAGACATGGTTATAACTCAACAGTTTTACTCATTTTGAGCTTAAATGTGGTGTGTTACCAGCTCAGGGGTCGACAACCTTTAACACCCAAAGAGCCATTTGGACCTGGTTTCCAGGGAAAGAAAATACTGGAAGCCGCAAATGTTTTTTGACATCTGAAATGAAGATAACACTGTATATATAGTAATAATAGTTTTGTTTTTTTGTTTTTACCTTTATGCTTTTTTATATTTTTTGGGTGGGTGGGTGGTTCTGTCTGTCTGTCTGTCTGTTGGTCGGTCTGTCTGTCTGTCGGTCTGTCTGTCTGTTGGTCTGTCTGTCTGTAGGTATGTAGGTATGAATGTATTGGAAGTTTATTAATGATTTCTTGTTGTTTTTTCTTCAGGTTTCCCTCAGCACATTGTTGCCACTTTTACTGACCAAGATGCCAAACCTTCATTCAGCATGTCGTAAGGATAAAAATGGTCTAACCTGGCCCAAGGTATTACTGGAGTGAGTTTCCTGTGTAGTATCTTACCTCTGGTGTGTGTCTCCCAGCCATCTGGACAGCAGCAGTAATCCTGATCTGTCTCTGAGGGGATATTTTTGTCCACAGTGCCACGCCAAGTACACTGAACTTCCTGTGGAGTGTAAAGTCTGTGGTATGTGTACTGGAAGGATTCATTTTGTTTGTGCTTTCATGAAACTAGAAGAAATACAGATGCTTGTTTTTTATGAATTGCTTGTGGGTTGAAGTACTGTATCTTTGCTGCGTCTCAGGTTTGACTTTGGTGTCTGCTCCCCACCTGGCCAGATCCTTCCATCACCTCTTTCCCCTCAAAGATTTTGTAGAGAGTCCAGTAGAGGATCTTCAGGGGAACAGGTGCCATCTATAAACTTACTTTTTTCTCTTTCAAAACGAGTTCCACTCAATTGAGATTCAAGTGTCCTTTGGTTTCAGGTTCTGCCAGACGTGTCAGATGGAGCTCATAGAGAGAAGTGTAAGTAGAGTTTTTTATTGTTGCAAAACTAGCCACTAGGAAGCACTGTATATTTTGTGCCAATCCCAAGTCCAGATACATAGTGAGGGTTGTGTTAGGAAGGGCATCCGGTATAAAACACTTCTGCCAAACACAAACATGAGTTCATCCAAGTGGCATCATACCAGATCGGTCACTGCTCAGGTTAACGACCACCACCGGTGCTGTTGACAAACAGGGTGCCAGCAGAAATTGTGCTACTGTTAGTCAAAAACCATGAGGTGTGAAACCTGCCAGAAGACATAGGGAGTAGAGGACAATCAAGAATGTAGGACTGAGGGCGGCAACTCTAAATGTGGGGAAATGACAGGCAAAGGTAGAGAGCTAACTGACCTTTTTTTTTTTTTCATTTAGCCTTTATTTATACAGATAGTCTCATTGAGCCACGAGAACTCATTTTCAAGAGAGACCTGTTTAGGGAGCAGATGGTGGGGGTTAAGGGCCTTGCTCATGGGCCCAGAGTGGGGCGAATGAGGGTGGGGGCAAGTGTGGGTGTTTCACCTACCCCACCCACAATTTTGATGTTGTCAGGGCCGGGGCATGAACCGGCGATCTTCGGATCACAGGCCCACCTCTCTAACCTCTGCGCCACCACTCCCCCTATGATGCATGACATGATGCAGAGAAGGAAGGTAGATGTGTTATGCATGCAAGAGATCAAGTGGAAGGGCAGCAAGGCTCGCAGCATTGGAGCAGGGTTCAGACTGTTTTACCATGGTGTGGATAGAAAGAGAAATGGAGTAGGGGTGGTCCTGAAGAAGGAGTTGGCAAAGAACGGAGCAGAGCTGAAAAGAGTGTCAGATAGGATGATGTGTCTGAAGGGAGAAGGTCTGATGCTAAATGCTGTCAGTGTTTCTGCTTGACAGGTTAGATGTGATGTAGAGGAGAAATAGAAATTCTGGAAGTATTGAGGTAAACGATAAGAGAGAGTATTCCTAGGGAGGAGAGAGTGGTGATCGGAGCAGACCTGAATGGACATGTTGGTGAAGGAAACAGAGGGGATGAGGAAGTGATGGGTAGGTTTGGTGTCATGCAAAGAAACCAGTAAGGACAGATGGTGGTGGATTTTGCCAAGAGAATGGAAATGGTTGTAGTTAACACTTTTTTCCAAAAGAAGGAGGAACATAGAGTGACCTATAAGAGTGGAGGAAGGAGTATGCAGGTAGACTACAATCTGTGTAGAAGAGGAAACCTGAGGGAGATTGGGGACTGTAAGGTTGTGGCAGGGGAGAGCGTGGCCAGACAGCATCTGATGGTTGTGTGTAGAATGACTGTTGTTGAGAAGAAGAGAAAAAGGAAATGGAGAAGAAGACTATATGATTGAAGACAATGAAAGGGAAGGAAGAGTATATGTCATAGAAACTGTGGACCAGAAAGTGGGAAATATTCAGGAGACTAATTTCTGCAGACGTGCCAGGACAACACGAGCAAATGTTTTTCCGACAACGCTGAGGAGGGCGATACCCTGGTAATTGTTGCAGTCACTATGATCACTTTGTTTTTGTATGAAATGTTAATGTTTGCATTTCGCATGTCCTGTGGGATGTATCCTTGTTCCCAGCAGAGGCAGAGGAGTTCATGCAGAGGTTTAAGCAGGGCAGGTTTCCTGCTTTTGAGTGCCTTGGATGAATCCATCGTTCCCAAAGGCCTTCCCACTCGCAAAGCAGACAATTGCTTTACTAATTCCATCCATAGTGTGTGTTGTGTCTAGCTCATCTATGACAGGTAGCTCTGGGATGGCATGAAGGGTAGTGATTCTACTTTGGGTTGCGTACAGCTCAAGAGAGTGCTCAACCCAGTGCTGCAGCTGCTTCCCCTGCTCGATGAGCTCTTCCAACTTTGATTTGAGGGGAGCAGTCTTGGTGATTGAAGGGCCTATCGCTTTCTTGATTCCCTCATACATACCGTAATTGCCGGTCTATAGAACACACGACTGTAAGCCGCACATACTAAATTTAAATAAAGACACAATTTTGTATATAAATAAGACACGCCAGGGTATAAGTTGCGGGTGTCCTCAAATTAATATCAGAAACTGTACAAAGCTCCTGGTGGAGTGTGCAGCTCTTGTAGTGGTACAAGAATGAACCACCAGAGGGTGTTTCATAGACTTTGGTTTGTTTTCACCACACACACACACACACACACACACACACAGACTGCTGATTGTCACAGGGGACTTCATGATGCTTTGCTCTCTAACTGATGGTTACCAGTAATCTACTACGGTAAATAATCTACAGAATGAACACAAACTAGTCTTAAGTAGAACACATTACCGGTAATCACTGGAGAGAACAGTGCTAAACATCTATGTAACCAAAATTATTATAAAGTTAACTTAGCGGTAAATTTTACCCACAATTCATACTTGTGGTCATGTGACCGGCAGTATCCGTAAAAATACTATGGTACAGTAAATCTTTATTAAATTAAATTACTGCCATTGATTTCTATTGTTAAGCACGTTATGGTAACAGCTACTGTTTAAAGTGTGCTTTAAAAATAAATTTCACGACTTCTGCTCCGCAGCACACAAGTCATGACTCACAGAGGGGGAACACCCCCTCCCCATTCTCTCACTGTGAGCAATATTTACCCTATGCAGAAAGATGTTTTAAACTTTTATTTAAATATGTACACAAATTAGGCTACGTACGTTAAAAAAAAAAATCTTAGTAATGCTTTTAACACGGCTTTAAAAAAACAGATGGAATTTTCCTCTTTGAAACTGAAACTGTTCTCCTCTTCTGATATGACAGACTACATCCCCGGATGGATGGATGGATGGATGGATGTATGGATGGATGGATGGATGGATGGATGGATGCATCGATGGATGGATGGATGGATGGATGGATGGATGGATGGATGGATGGATGGATGGATGGATGGATGGATGGATGGATGGATGGATGGATGCA